GTGCACTGACCACCAGGAGGCAGACAGTCGACTGGTCGACCAGTCGCTATAACATGCACTAACCACCAGGAGGCAGACGCTCCAACCAGTTGGTTAACTTGTTGCTGGGGTCTGGCCGATCGGGACTGAGCGAGAAGGGCCAGACATGCCCTACCCAACTGGCCAACCTCCCGTGTCCCTCCTCGGCCAGGATAGTGCACCATTGGGGTCTCTTGGCCTGGCCTGCGCCCTCTCACAATCCGGGACCCCTCGGGGGATGTCGGTGAACCAGTTTCGGCCCGATTCCGTAGGCCAGGCCGAAGGACTCTGCTGGTGCATGAATTCGTGCACCAGGCCTTGGCGGTTCTCAACCTGTGAGTTGCGACCGTCGGAAAACACATATAGCCTATCAGATATTTACATTACGATTCATAACAGTAGCAAAATTACAGTTATGAAGTAGCAACGAAAATAATTTTATGGTTGGGGTCAGCAGTGACATGCAGGGGACATGGCACTTCAGACAGAGGGGAGAGCATAAGTAAAAAGAGTAAAAACAGAGGAGAGGACAGCACCGTGATGGCGAACCTTTTGAGCTCGGCGTGTCAGCATTTTGCAAAACCCTAACTTAACTCTGGTGCCGTGTCACATATAGAAATTTTTTGATATTTGCAACCATAGTAAAACAAAGACTTATATTTTTGATATTTATTTTATATATTTAAATGCCATTTAACAAAGAAAAATCAACCAAAAAAATGAGTTCATAGGTTCGCCATCACTGGCCTAGTGTTTTATATTTCACAGTACCCAATACAGTGCTAGAAAGTCTACTTGCAAAAGATACACCAGTCTTCAGAACAAGTTAATAGATTTTTTAAGAGTTCTGAGAATGAAAATGAAACAATTATTTAATCTGATAAAAGAACTAAGACTAAATGCTATATAATTGATATAATTTTTACTATTATGTTAAACAGATACTAGTAAAGTCTAAAAATTTTTATTATTTTATTCCTAAAAGCTGTATCTTCTAGATCTACTGAGCAAATGTTAGTGGAACTACCTTTTTCTAGGCTGTTCTGAAAATAATTCAGAAATTACCTTAATCAAATCTCATTTTTTTATGATGAAAATAGGTTCAGTGTTTATTTACTGACTTATCTGTCACAGTTATTGCTAGAATTGATTCTACGACCCATGTTTCTTGAATCCAGGCCAGTGCTCTTTCTATTAAACCATACTATCTCTTCTGGCAAATTAAGCACTAAATAAATAATTGTTATAGGTAAACAAACCTAGTAACAGCAACATAAACATGTTATTTTACTAAAATAATTATCAGCATAAAATATTACAAATTGTGAAATCAAGTTTTAGTTAAACACCATATATTCCTATTTATACTTATATATTCAAATTACAGCAGTGAGGAGAAAAAAATGCAGGAAATGTGAATTTTACAATACAGGGGGCCCTCCAATGTTTTGTTCAAGGCTGTTCCATTATAATGTTGATGAGATGTCACAGGCATTTAACTCTTGTTTATATCAATTAATCTATGGTAAAACTGGTTTGTTTATATGTCATTTCACTTAAAGTTGCAGAACTTATCAATGACATTAACTGATGACTTACTGTACTTTTAAATGCATATATATTATTTTTAAATACATATTTTAAAAAGTAAGTAATAAACAGTGGTAAGTAAAAGTCCTTAAGCCCCAAATGGAAAACCACAATATAATCACAAGAAAGCCAACTATAGTATATTGGTTTGTTGTCTTATTAGGTTATTGTAGCTAAAGAGCTTAGTTATCATTAGTTTCCTTTCCTGCCAGCATTCAATGTGGCACAAAGACTTTTTAAAAAGGTCCTTTAAAGGTTGCATTTACAAGCACCCTAAGTCACAAGAAAGTTTACAACCATTAAAATAAATTAATCTATAAAAATGCTGGCACTTGCTTCAATTGGTTAGAGCAGAAGTAATTCTCCACTGCCATGCTAAATGGTAGTAATATTTTCTCTGAAATGTGTTGTTCCTACCTTATATAGGCGTGACCTAGAGATTTGCAAAACTCCTCAATCGCCAATGCTTTTGTACCAGTCATATTAGAAATATAGCCAGGGAGGAAGATAATTCCTGGACTTTTGCCTTTTAGTCTCTTATAAGCCAGTTTTGGAAGGTCTGGTCGACTAAGGAAAGAGACTGATGCCTTTTGTCTGCAAGCTAAACAAAGTACACAAAACATAAACCATAGTTTGCAAATACAGTTTTTGGAAAACCATATATATAAGTATATTTATTTTCAATCTTAACTTTAACTTGTCAAACTGATGTCAAATACTATTTCCACTTAATAGAAAACACAAAACATTGATGTATTCTATTCGTCTGTGCATATTCTATGACAAGTTTGTGCATATCTTCATTTCAAAATCAGTACCTTCTTTGAGTAAGGTCCAATCTTGCTTCTTCAAACACGTATGAAACCTTCCTCTCCTTTACTGTGGCTACAAAAACTTGTCAGTCTCTTCCATGTGAGCTGATAAAGTTTACCTCATTCTGGATTTAAGAAGTTGATTTTAAAAAATTAAATTGGAGACCTTAAAACTATTACTTTTACATGTAAGCTTGTTTCAAAGTTTCCATGTATAGTGAAGTATTCCAAATTTAAAACTTTCAGTGAAAAGCAGGGCTAGAAGGAGCCAGTTACGTTGGTTGGCAGATTGTATAAGCAGAAATGTTCATTTTCCGTTTCCCTCGTTCAGCACTCAAAAATCCTCCCTATCCTCTTAATGTTACTTCCCAACACAAGAATGTCTCCGTGAGACAATCACTGATTTAACCTCGGTAAGTTTTAAGTGGACAGGTTAACATTATATCCATAAAGGATCTTTGTACAATAAGAATTAGTTCAAAGCCTGGTGCTTCAGTGCTCAATAGATGAACTGGAACGTCTTTAATGAAATGTAATGGTTAATGAAATGACACACTACGCTAGAGAAACATATAACACGTCTTTTGATTGTGTACAATTAAATGCAAGTTAAACTGATTATAAACATTTAAAAATTTTAACTCAAAACAATGAGTATCTGCAATGACAATTCCCATTCCAAGCAATCATGCATCTGAGTGCCCAAGGTGTGGACAAAACCAAACCAGAAGCTAAAAAGGCAAACTTTAGAAAGACAGACTATATATAGGTGTCCCCCAAAACTGTATATACACTTTGAATAATTATTAATTTCAATGGGTTAAATCTGAAAAGAAACATCAATGGAGCTCAGCTGTTAAGTGTATATACTTTTGGGGTGGAGGGGGACACCCTATACATGGGAGGGTGGGGCTGGAATACGAAGAGGGAGGAACCAAGCACAAGATAAAGAAAATAGTAAAGGGCTCTGATTTCTGGTTTAAATTACAGTGTCCTTCATCAAGGAATGATGATGTTTTCACGGAGCGGGAGCATCGAGAAGACAAAATGAGAAAGAAGGCTCGATCTTTATACACTTTTACAACGAGACTGTTCCAATTGTAAATCCCCTCAAGTCCAAGGAGGGCACCCGCAGAGAAAAAAAAAAGAAAAATCAACTAATAAACAAACGCGGTAAATGCACGTTAACTTTCCCTCTTCGGCGCTGAGCGCAGGGGAGGCGGGCGGAGAGCGGGACCCTGGCGGAGCGTCACCCGCTCGCAGAGGCCG